CACCCAGGAAACCGTTTCATGTCCAGTGATGTGAATGTTCGAAGTAGCTCATTCCACTTTAAAATTTCATGTGTATATATATTCGAACCAGTGAATCACACCATACAAGTGCTGTTTTTTTGCCATTGTTATATCAAGAAGCATCGTGTATGTAAATATATTATTTTAATTTAATAATTCTATCTATATTTGAGGTAAATAATTCCTTGGGTGAAGTTCAATAGAATACATTAATAGTAGTAGTTTTGAAATTACTGTCTGTGAAATAAAGAAAGTAATGGTGGCCAAAGATTTGCTGCACAATGATTCCTAGATATGAAATTAATTGCATGAGGTTGAAGAAAGAGGTGCAATGAGAGAGAAAGAGACATAATGCATAGGGAAGAGACAGAGAGGATGCGCACGTTAGCAGCGTGGATGTCAGTGTCAAGTCATTGTTTGGGTTCCGTATAACAAGGATTTTGGTTGGGAAGTCCTACCCTACCACTACTTTTTTATTTTTCTTCTAATTTTAAAATTATTATCTTTTAAAATCAAATATATTTTACCATTTTAAATTAGACCAAGCTAATCTAATGTGGACCACTTATACCCTTACCCTCACCCTCACCCTCGTAAGACTTTTCACGTGATCAGAAAATCTTAAGGATCACACAACAGACCTAAAACCCAATTAACCTTTGATGCATGAAGACCAAGTTTAATGATTAATGGGTTGATTGATGTTAATTACTCACAAACGAGACCAAGCTCAAATTAATGTGCTAGTATTAAATTTACTTTTAATTGACACATCAAGTTTAAAAGCAATCAATCATCTTTATTTTGTTATTTTAAATATAAAACAAATGAATTAATATTTTTAATATATTAACCATTTGTTCTATACTATTTCTTAATATTTTTAAAATATTAAAAAATAGTATTACAGTATTAATTATTTTCTACATTTTTTTTCATTTTTATTTTTATGATTTCTATTTACTTGGTTGGTCCTTTAATAAAATAAAATTTAGAAAAATATATTTTATTTTTATTTTTAAAAATAATATAATACAAATTGTTTGTATTGCCATATAAAAAATGATCTTCCATATGATTTTTTTTCTTAATCAATTTAAATCATGACAGCCATTCCTAAAAATTATTTTAAAAATTAGTTAATTTTAAAAATAAATAAATAATTACTTTTTTTTAATTTTTAATTTTATCCGTTTATGATTTTTAATTACTTTGTCATATATTAAAATTAAATTTAAAAATATATATTTTAGTTCTAAGTCTTAAAATAATATTATTTAAAAAATAATATATGTTTATTAATAATACAAAGTTTTACATTGTCATATAAAAAATTGTTATGTAATACTTCCATCTATAAAATAAAAACTAAAAATAAATTTATCATTATTATATTAAATATTTTTATTATTAAATATTCTTCATATTTTTATTAAATAAAAATTAAATTAATATTATTTAATAAAAAGATACATTTATAATGAGACAAGTATAACAAAAATCATTAGACAAGTCTAAAAATATTTAATAAATGAGTATAACCATACATTAATTATATGAGTATAACAGAAAATATTATAAGAGATATTTCATTCAATTATTAGACTAGTATAAAAAAATATTAAATGATTTTGTCAATCCATTGTTTAGACAAGTTTAATAATATATTAGATGAAATCTGTTCACAGAGTTACATCATATACATTGTACAAGTTTGTTTCTCAATATGCAACAGGACTTTATTAATGGGCATTAAATGTGTTTGTCCATTCATTGTTTAAACAAGTCTTAACACAATTAAATGAGTCTATAAATACATTGATTGGACGATTGTGTTAATATATTAATTAAACAATTTCAGGAACAAACACTAGACCGGTATATGTTTATACACTTATTAGACAAATCTAGTAGTATACATTAGACAAGTTTGTTTATACATAAATTAGACGTGTTTATTAATACACATTAGACAAGTTTGGTCACTCACTAATTAAACGAGTCTTGTAATACATATTACATGAATTTGAATATACATATCAATAAACATTATATGAGCATGTTTATATATTGGTTAAACAAGTCTAACAATATATATTAGGTGAATTTATTGATGTAGATTACACGAGCCTAATAATATACATCAAACGGGTCTTTCCATACACTGATTAAAAGAATATAGCAAAAAAAAGTACATGAGATTATCTATACAATAATTAGATAAGTATAATAAAAAATACTAGACAAGTCATTTTATACGTTGATTAGACGAGTATAACAAAAAGTAGACAAGTTTAGGAATATATTGATTAGATAAGCAAAGCAAAGCAAAAAACATTAGAGGAGATTGTCGATGTATTGATTAAATCAGTTTAACAATATACATTAGACGAGTCATTCATATATTTATTAAATTACTCTAGCAATCTACATTAGACAAGTCTTTCAACACATAAATTAGACGAGTCTATTAATAAACATATTATACAAGTATGATCATTTACTTCTTAGATGAGTCATTTTATACACTGATTAAATGAGTATAAGAATACATATTAGACGAGTATGTCCACACGCTGATGAGACACATCTTGTAACGCACATTAGACGAGTTTGTCCACACACTAATTATTACACTAGTCTAACAATATTAGACAAGTCTATTCATACACATATTAGATGGTGATTAGATGAGTCTAACAAGATATATTGAATGAGTTTGTTAATACATTAATTAGACAACTCTAACAGATCACAACTCTATTCATACACTAATTTATATTTTATATTTTTAACTAGTCAACTATAGATATTTCTGCATATCTTTTATAAATTTAGAAAGTATACTCCATTTTTACATATATTTTATCCTTTATATTTTTACAAAGTCTACTATTTATATTTTTATAAGTATATTAACTTTTTAAATCTATAAATTATTTTTAAAATTAATTCTATTCAAACTTTAATTATAAACTTAAAAATATTTATTATTTTTTTCTCGATACGTAATTCTCTTCTAATAAACACACAAACCAACATTAACCCGTAAATAAATACATGTTTAATTCTAGTTTTGTAAATAAAATAACATAACTAAAAGTATCACCCACATGACCTAGTTAATAACATCTCTATCCTTTTTCTGTATACTTGATGATGTTCACGAGGGTATTACAATTTCTTTCATGTTATTTTTCTGAACACAAATGGAGGAAACAGACAGTGTTGCAGGTGTTCCAACAGTCTCCATCATGTCCTCTCTCAAACTGCATTCTTCTCCATGAGGCCATGCTAACTTTTCTCCTACTCAGAAAAAAAAACATCATCATATATAATTATGCTCCACTTTTGTGTTTTTGTCTCTTTGTTCAAGATTTAACTATTTGATGATGTTAGCAAAAGGGAGAGGTCAAATTTACTTGTATTATAATTTGTGCATATGCATGCATGTGTCCCTTTTCAGCTAGGATAATGCTATTACATGCTAACTTTCAAATAATTTCTACACTTTTTTTTTTCTTTCTTCCACATCCATTGTTTTCTCTCTTGTTTTTCCTTTTCCATATCCATTATTATAAAAACTGGAACTCACTCTTTTAGTTTCCAAAATATCATATCTACTCTCCAGTTTTATTTTTCTTATTTCACTAATTACCAATTATTTAAATATTTTCTTAATTTTTTTTCATTATATTAAAAATTTAAGTGAATCTAAATCTTATATTAAATAACAAAATATCATTTTTTTACATATTTTCGTTTAAAAAATCTATTTTTTTTATTATATTAGAAATTTAAATGAAGTTAAATTTTATATTAAATAAAAATTAGAAAATTGAGTATGAGAGAAAACTTATAAATTCATTAATTTTATGTTTTAAATTAAAAATAATATATACTTTTTTTTTATGAGTTTGACTTCGTTGTTGTGTCTTGTCAGCTAATTCCTTCTAGAAAACCCATCACATTGCAAATTTTGTTTCATATGGTTACCAATTTTTCTTTTCTAATAATTAATGTCTCTAATTATAATTTGGCTATACATATCAAAATAATTTGTTTGTGGTTACTCCCAAATGTCAACAACCCTCTTCCATTTTCAACGGGAATAGTTCTTTTGGATAAAAATATTTGTAGATTATATTTGTGTACAATTTCAATTACACATTACTTTAAGCAATGCAATTTTGTTTGTTTTCAATATTCAGCAAGAGTAAGTTGTTAATTATGGGAGAAACTACAACACTACAATTTCAAATTGAATTACTAGCTGAGAATCAAAGAGACTAAGATAGAAAAAGGAACTGAAGTTTAAAAATATAATGAATTTGAAGAAAACAATTAAAATATCAGAATATTTTGTTGTTAAGATTTTTTTTATCAGCAAAAAATTTTAATTAAAACATTTGGGATGCTCCAGACCATATATGTATTAAGAAGTAATACCCAAAGCTCAATATTTTGCATTGCATCCCTATGTATTTAAAAGACTTTACACAATAGCTTAAACACACAAAAATAAATTTAAAATTATTGTTAGATAATCACTTATTGCTACACTTCCAAAGTTACTTCAAAGCATAAATAATTTCGAGTTGTTTGCAGCAATAGAAAGTTTATAGTTTTTCAAACTTTAGAATTTAGAAAACAATGGCTAAAAGTATCTATAAAAAGTTATTTCATCTTTTAATAATAACTTGAACATCACGTACTCTTTCAAGTAATTAAGTGCTGGAAGAAGACGCAGCTTGTAGCCGAATCACACGTCATAAATACTCCACCTTTTACTGGTATAAGATTCTGTTCTCGTTTAATCTTTTATGCAATTATTGTTCTTCAAACAAATACTGTCATATTTCCTTCTTCAACACTGAAAAAATAGCTACCTTAAACGGTTCAAAATACATTCTAAGAGCAATTAATTATCTTTCTCAGGTTAGACTGATATATATGTTATAGTCCGCAACTCCATGTAATTTATAAGAACAATATATATAAATATATATCAAAAAGATAAGATTACATCTAAGCCATCAAAAAAAGGCTAAACCAGAGCTGCATGAGTTAAGTTAGCCTTATTATTACATAGCTGGTGCGATAACTCTATACTAATTAATAATAGCAGATGCATGCATGGATATATAGCTTGTTGATTACATATATATCCTGCCCCTACCTATGTAATGGCATGATTAGATACATATATATATAGTTATATATAATAGCGAAAAGATGTTTATTAGAGTGTGCATGATGACGAGTGATGAGTAGGGTGAAGATCAAATGCATAATATCGTTGATCAAACCCAAAGAGCTCCTGCTTTTTTGAGCATTGGAATCAAGGAGCGATCAAGGTGAAGACTCATGACTTCATTGGCTCCACCAACAAGCTCACCACCAATGAACACAGCAGGCACAGAGGGACTGCAACCTAGCCTTGAAAGAGCTTGCTCAATGTCTCTGCCTCTTGGTATCTCATCAAGCTCGTGAACCAATGGATTCACTCCAAAGTCACAGAAGAGGGTCTTGATGGTGTGGCTCATGCAGCAAGAGCTCTTGCTGAAGATCACCACTGGTCTTTCTGAAACCATCTTGTTCACCCTATCCATTACGAGACAATGCCAAATGGGTTGAAATCTGAAGGGAAAAGAAAGCAAAGGATGTGGTATTGATGAGGTTTTTGATGTGGTTTTTGATGTGAGATTGAGCCAAACGTGGCATTCTTATATAGTGGTTTGAAGGCTTTTAGGTGGTGGTGTGGTGGATTGGCATCGCTAAGCAAAGAAAAAGATAGGGTGACAATGGAGAAAAAGTGGAGAATCATCGATCAGATATTTGGGTCGGTTTCGAAATTTTCTTTGATCATTTGTTGAAAGTGATTGATCCAACTCTTCCTTTTACTACAGACGAATCTCTCTATCCATGCATGCATACGGAAAAACAAGGACGAGTCCTTGGCATGCCTTCAAAAGAAAATTATGCTTATATCACTTCTTTCACAATTCTATTTCTATGTTTCATGCACACAGTTTTTTGATTCTTGGGACATAATCTACAGTTTTCGTGTTTTGTTTTTTCACGATTGCATATATACGTACGACTCCTGTTTCTGGAATTAAGAATAGTATATATATGTTCTGTGCATGGAATTTGTTAATTAATTAATTTTCCAATCATGGTAAAAATCTATTTTTTCTTTTAAGTACTTATTATTTAAGTTTGTGATGCTAATGGTGAAGTTTCTGCCTTATCTATCTTTGAGGCATCTGCTGCGTTGGAAGAAAAGTTGAATTTATCCAATTGGGACCTCTTTTTGTGCTATTTAGATTCGCATCCAATTCTAGAAAGGGAAAGATCATTCAAGCTGTATTGGAGTTATTGGAAAATAAATATTTCTGACATAATATTATTTATGACCTTTTGCTGTTCTTGTTTTTTTTTTTTTTCATTTTATTTGTTTTCAAAATACTTTTTATGATAATTTTTGCGATTATTTTTACACATGTTTTTTGTTGCCATGAACCATTATTAAAACTGTTTCGCCGTAAAGCAATTTATACTGTGATTGTCAAGCCTCTCATATTTTCGGGATTAATTAATATGCAAAATTTATGGGGCAAGTAAAACTATAAATAATATTCAATTTTATCGGAGAACTAGATATAAAATAATAATAATTTTTAAATCGAATCGAATATTTATAATTCAACTAGAAGGCTATGGAGACAGAGATCATTCAAGGATTGAGGTTCTGGGCCATTTATTTATATTAATTAGATAGCTTCAAAATTACATTTGCTTGAATAAGAAGGGATTTTCATAGTGGTTTATTTTGTTTTGTCAGCTATAATTTTCAATCATTGAAATTAGTTCTTCAATAAGAAGGGACTTGCAATGACTTAAATTTTTTAACTGAAGCAATTAATTTTAAAATTAACTTATATAAAACATTTTCATTTTTTTTAAAAAAATACTTTACCATTTGAAGCAAATAATTATCATAAAACTGACAGACATATATATAGTTTTTAAACAATTAATGATGAGTAAACTCTTTGAACTTAACTTTACTTATATTTGTTTAAATATGCATTATTGTAAATTGTTTATCAAGTCATGTTTAAAAACCGGGTGGTAATTGCAAATTTTCAAAATAAATCATAGAAATATAATTATTTTAAAAATAATTTAAAAATAATTATAAAAAATATTTTGCGTATTTGCAAATATTGAAAGTTTCAACTAGAGATAAGGTTAAATTATAATATATAAATGGAATGCAATCCTCGTTTTACATGAGGTCAGGTTTAAAGCTCATTTTTTATTAGCAAATGCGTGTTTGAATACATAATCCATGTTCAATAAATTAAATAATTTCTATTCAACATTATCTTTATCATTTTTTTTACATTCTCGTTAATGCAGAAAATATTTCAGAATAATGTATCGCTTTATTCCTTGCAATAACGTGTCAACTTTCTTTTTCTACGTTTTTAATCTTTTAAAACTTTTATCCCAATTTTTTTTTCTTATTTGAAACATTATGGGAAGATTTTTTTTCTTCTCAGAAAAAAAAAAAATATCACTTACAACTTCATACATGTTGACGTAGTTAGATACAAAATATGATAACGCAGTTAGGTACAATATCCAATTCATTTAAAGTCTATATAAGAAGCATTTTAACATCTTTTTGAACTTTTCAACGATATATTTGGTAAATTAACAAACATAGTCTTAAACTTTACAAATGATAGACAAATAAAATATCGACAGTTAATTAAAAAGGAAACAAGAAATATTAATTTTGCCCAAACACATTCATACAATATTTCCATTGAATGAGAGATGCTAAATCAATGTAGAAACATATATCCTTTTATAACATGTTTTGGAGGATATATATTTCATCAAACATTTGCTCAATTAACTTGTAGAATGATATTAGCAATCAAGAACAAGAAAAGTGATAGTCATATACTTTTTTTTTTTCATGTATAATTTCTCTTACTTTATATATACATCTTTTAGCATTTGAGATTACATTAAAAAATAATAATAATTGAATAATGGTTTGTAGTTGCATACATGCATGGTAATGTTAGAACCACAAAGATTTGAGATGATTGTGAATCACAATTATTGGTGGCAGTGACGTAGATTTACAACGACCTTACAGTATGGGAAAGAAAATTGCAATAAATAAAAGAAATTCTTTTTGCAGCAATTCGATACAGAACTATTTTTGAAGTTTGTTCGTGGTACATAATAAGGACGAAAAATATTCTGGGAAATTTCTAGATAATGCATGCATGCAACATGCTTGGTTGTGACTAAAGGAATCTTGGTGTGGTGCAAGGTGTTAGGGTTTTTCTCTCTTTTACATATACCCTTCTCTGCTTCTCTAATCTAACATGGCGCCACGTTTTCTTTTGATACCAACTTCATCCAACACTAAAAAACAAAATAATATATATATATGTTAGGGGCACGCTTTAGGGTTCCTCCCTACGATTTAAGGTACTTTAGTCTCTCCATATTGCCTCTACTAAGAACCCAAAGGCCATTTCTTCTTGCCCGTAGTTCATTTCACCGTACGTCACCTGAATATGCTCATGTACTTATATATATTATACATTAAAAAGTAAGAGTTAAATTTCAAATACACTTTATACTGCTATGAGTCGAAAAAAGAATAGTTTTCCATCTCTATTTTTAAAAAAAAAAGTCAAAAAACTATTATCTATTCATTTTATCTTTAAAAAACATTATGTAACTTAAGAAATATTATATAATAATATACGTATATATATAATTAAATAGAGATGGACATATACGACGAAAGATATCGAACAGAAAAAAGAAGAAAGAATGTTGACTTTATAGTTGGAAAAGGATTGATAGAGAAAATGTAGTGACACAAAATTGTGATTTTGAGAGTTGAAGTACACAACTGTACATATTGCTATTTTATTAATATAATCGTGCATATAAGATATACATTCTGAACAGAGGAAAAAGAGAAGGATCAAATCAAGAGCCATGTTACAAAAAATAAATAAAAAATGAAAGAGCCATGTTTAAGTGATATAATATATATAAATATATATACCTTTTTGGCTTGGCTATTGCTTTATAAGATACGAGACAAAGAGAATTGAATAGCTTAGCCTCTCGCGAAGCATCGAAAATCCCTCCAAAAAGCACAATCCAAAAGGAAAATTCTCTTGTTTCTCTCTTTTTTTCGCATGCCGAATAAAATAATTCAAAAGTATATATATATATTTACACACAGAAATACTCATATGGGTGATGAACTTTTGCAATTTATAACACTTATTTATTCCATAGTTATAAGAAAAAAATATTCGGAGATTTTAACAAGATTGTCTGACTATGATTCCCACGAGCATTACGATTTGTCTTTGATTGCGGCAGAGCATCTATCTTAATCCACAACAAATGCAATTGCAATGTTTTAACACATGCAAAATTATCTTACGATTTCTTTTTAATCTATAATTAATCTAAAATCTCAAGGTAATAAATTTGTAAATTTGTTTAATTTTAATTTAATGTGAGATTTAAATTTATAATTGGATTCCTAATACGATATTTATGTATTTTTGTTTTGCTTAGATAAAAAAAGTAACATATTTACCATTACAAATGTTATTCAACCTTTAAACCTTAGATTACTGGTAAAGTATATGTTGAGAGAAAAAGAAAAAGCATAGTATAGCTATCCTTTGGAGCAGTCAATTTGGTTTTTATATGCGCATCAAGAAATTGATTTAGTGAGCCACTTGGGAAGAAAAAGGTTGCAGTTTAGGGATGAATAATTGACTTTAAGTATTGCAGAATAATGAAATTAAATTTGGTAACAGTGACATTTTTGCTGTTTGTTAAGAACACGGACTCCACACAAGATCATGTAGTAATAATATATTCTGATTTTGTGAGCGTGGACATGCTGTGCTATGCTAACTGATAAGATAGGGTTTTGATTGCAAACTCTCAGACCAATTGAAATGCTTCAAGAACATAGTTGGTGATCTTTAAAATTGGATGTGATATATGATATGATACTAATATATTATATGATTTCAATTTCATACATCTTATTACCTTTTTCTTCTCTTTTTCCAGTACAACCTTCATGTTTTTCTTCACAGAAACGTGTGTGCTATAATTTCATTCTATTCCCTTGTAACCACAAAAAATTTCCTGGTTTTGCTTTAAATATTTCTGCAAAATAAAACCTCGAGTATTGAATTAACTTTCAAGAGCAAATTTAACTTATCTAAATTTTTTAATAGTACTGTTAAAATGGATCATTCGGTTCAATCCGACCAGACTTATCACGGGTTAGTCACATAGTGAGCCAACCAGTTTATTTATTAGCGAGTCAAAAAAAATAGGACTCAACCCGATCCATCACGAATTAGTGGGTTAAACAGGGAGTGTTAGTCCCTTCACCACCACGCCTCCTTACACTTCTCCAATTTTTTTTTAATTCCAAAAATATCCTTATTTACTTTTACCTTTTACCTTTTTTAACTTTTTCTTAAAATCTTAATTTTTTACTCTCTTATTCACTCAGCCGCACACCACACCCTCATCCCCACACTCTTAGACTTTGTTTGCTTGAATGGATTTGTGGGAGAGTGATTGAGGGGATTTGGAGGTAAATTTTTTTGTTATTTATTTGAGTGGATTTGGAGGTAAGTGAAAGTGAATTTGGAAGTAAAGTTTGTGAGAATTAGTGTAGAATTTGATTTATATGACAAATTAAAAAAAAAATACTTCTAAATTCATTCTCATTTATCTTCAAATTCACTCAAATAAACAACAAAAAA